ATATAACCACAGACAGTATATAACCACAGACAGTGTATATAAGCACAGACAGTGTATATAAGCACAGACTGAATCACCTGGCTGCCGTCGTATCTCCTCAGCTCCTCCTCGGTGAATAACCGCACAGGTTTGGTCGCAGCTTTAAACTTTAACTTGAAGTCTCGCGCTGAAGTCGCGCAGAGGAAGACGCAGAGGAAGACGCAGAGGAAGCTCAGCCGCGCTGTTGCCATGGTGCGACTGTCGTTTCTATGCGGAAACTCTTTGATCTTATTCACTTCCTGTCTGCGACAACCCCCTGGCGATGCCTTCAAACACCATCGGAAATTAGAGAGGCGACAGAAAACAGAGGGCTGCATACCATTTCTCTCACATTACTGCGGTCACATGCACGGTATGCAATAACTAGAAACAGACTGTGACTATTACCACAGGATATAAAGACTGTATAGGTCTTGCTAAGAAAAACCCTCGTTTTCCACTGTAACGTGTGAAATATCCTCAAAGTTTAAGTGAAAAAAACAGTTAAAAGTTGACTTTGAGTTGCAGTTGAGTCAAACTCCTTTCTTTCATTGTTTTTCTCATTCAGGTTTTTACTGGTGTGTCTTTTCAGTAAAGCTCACTGGTCCATAATGGACTGACTCTAAAATCAACATTCAATCGGGTCACTTGAAACTAGAGACTCACTTCTCACAATTCCCAGAAACTTCCTATGAGCACGTGAAGGCAGCATTAGGTCACAATAGGTAAGGTAAGGGTGCAGGAAACGAGGAAACCAGGACATGTGGTGTTTTTCCTGTTGTATCGCGGCCTGGGGGGGGGGGGGGGGGGTTCTCATTATCATGGGATGGGCTCTGACTTTATCGCCGTCACCAGAATCCACACAGGCTGTTTGCGTAGTGTGTTCAGAAAGAGAAGCTGCCACCTGAGCTGAACCCTGGGACACGAGAACTTTATTAAAATGCATCGGGTCGTTATGAAAAGTACTTTTCAAACTTCTTCTTCTTCTTCCTGTTGTTGTTGTTGAGGAGCTCAGTGCAGAGGAATGCTGAGGAAAGAAAACTCCCGGTCAACATACCAAGAGGTGAGCAGGAGAAGTTTATCCTCCTTTCACCACACACACTGTTTCCTAATGCATTTGGTGCAGAATGATAATTATCGTTGTAATAAGTGGTGTGGTTTGAGTGGGGGTCAGTGGACATCATGTGACTGGACAGCAGCAGGAAAAAGCTGCTTCCTGTGCAATGAAATGAGCTGACCACAGGTTTTCTCTCAGGTCTGATTCAAACCTGCTGTTCTCCTCTCTGCTCCCTCATAAACGAGTTATATGCATTTTAAAGTCACTGCAGGAGTCTTGTTATTCTGCTGCACTTTGCCATAACACGTGTGTAAGTGCTCAGGTCCATTATTTCCTAACTTGCTGTTTATTTATCTGGTTGGATGAAAAGATATAATCCTGATTATTTTTGTTCTATTCCTATCTTTCTTCTCTACGAAGCGTTTTGTGACATTGTTTAAAAAAGTGACGATAACAATTAATACATTCATCCATCACACACTCATCTATATAGGTACAATTCACATTTTCATTCGTTTAGTACAATATAAAGTCAATACTCGTGCCAGCTCACCCTTGGAAAAGAAATCATAATCTCAATGGAACGTTCCTTGTTAAATAATGAAAAATGAAATGTCATTTTCTCAACCTCACAGTTCAGTGATGACGACGGTGAAGGCCGCTCACAGTCTCCGGACCTTTCTGATGATTCACCAGAAGACCTGGAGGAGCACGAGGAGCGCGAGGAGCCGAACGGCAGAATCTCACCAGGTGAGAGCAGAGCTGCGGTCAGAGAGGCCTCGTCTCTGGTGGGTTGATGATTTTACCTGGAACATGTCACGGGATCCGGAGTTCATACATTTCTAAGCAGACGTGGTTTAAAGCTGCTTAACTTGTTTGTTTTTAATGAATTCTTGTTTATCTTGAATTTTAACATTCCCTGTAGTATAGATTTTCCATTTTTCTTAGCGTTGTCTGAATTTGTCAGTTGTATGACTGATATTTTCTTCCGCTGCAGAGGACGACATCAGGGAGAGCAGCCCGTCGAGGAGATTTAGTAAAACCTGCCTGAAGAATGTCTTCACGGTGGTCCTCATCTTCATCTACCTGCTGCTGACGGCGGTGGCGGCGTTCCTGGTGTACCAGACCATCTCTGACTTTCTGGACAAACTCAACCACCCAGTCATGTCTGTCACCTACAAAGAGGTGGACTCCTTTTCCCCCCCTGGTTTGTATGAATAATAATCTTCATGGGTTCATATAGGAAACAAAATACTTTACATGTGGTCAAAATATCAGACAACTGAGTGACTTCAATGTAGTTAATATTTAGGTTGTGTTAAACCTTGGAGGATATTTGATATTAATAATAAATAATGATAATAATGATTTTGTTATATTGTCTGTAACTGTTTATTGTTAAACCAACAACAAAATATCTTGGTCTGGGATGATTTATGATTCATTGTTGTGTTTCTTTTTTTGGAGCAGGTATCGCTCTCTATCCCGGCCGAGCTGAGCTGCTGAGCTGCAGACATCACTACCACGACTACATCCCTCCGTTAGTGAACCCGGGCGAACCTCAAGAGGGAGACTGTGAGATTAAAAACGTGACTTACTTCGGACCATTTACAAATCAAACAGAGGTCAGCCATAAATACCTTCAACTGGTGGTTTCACATGTGTCAACAATACAAACAGTTATATTTCAATACAACTACAGTTTGCATATTGACGTATTCTGCTCAAATACAGAATTGTGATGTCATGTGATGCAGACTTTGGATTTTTAACTTTGCAGAACTTTTATGTTCCCAAAAAAACATCACTACACAACACTGGAGAGTTTGTCTTTTCTGATAGATTATAAAAAACGTCTCTACTCGTGTCTCACAGAAACGAGCTCTGGTGGTCCGCGGCCCCTCTGATGTCAGAAACAAAGAGTTGATCTTCATGCAGTTCAGTCAAAATGAAACAGAAGAGGACTTCAGTGCCATCACCTACATGCTTTTCTCCAAGTTTAGTGACTTCACTGACAGGTAACTGCAAATACCGTGTATTGATCCTGTTTACTGATATTTCCTGGTGTCTCACAACACAGGTAAAGCGCCGACTGATGACAGTTTACTATTTAAAAGTAATTAATGACTTTTGGGTCATGCAATATGAAATTTGACCCAGTGTGATCGTAGTTAATAATTCACATAATGTGTTACCTGTGTTTTCTGACAGCGTGAATCAGTCAGAGTTCATGAGGGACTGTGAGAAGAATTACTCCATATGGACCTTCTCTGGAGGATTCAGGACCTGGGTCAAGATGTCTTTAGTGAGGACGTCTGGGAAAAGCAATGAAGCTGTCGAGTTTCGTCAAGAGGTATTTGTGTCAGACTAACCTACACACGTGTGCATATGGGATGAAAATATATTTTAAAAGCATTAATCTCAGCATTTGTTTGGGGTCTTCTAGTCCACTGTGGTGAAATTCAATGATAAAAGACCTGAGTCGGAGCAAAGCAACCAGCTTTTCTTTGCTGTTTTTGAGTGGCGGGATCCGTTTATGCAAGAAATCAGACTGGTAAGTTCTCCCTGACTGTTTTTTAATCCTCATAAGGATTCATCCAATGCGTCGGTCTGTAACACAACTCTGTTCATTTACAAACAGATAGTGACCGCAAATCCCTGGAACTCCATCGCCATCCTGTGTGGAGTCTTCATGGCTTTCTTCAAGGCAGCTAACTTTGCCAAGCTTACTATTCAGTGGATTAACAAGATGCGTAAGAGGCACCTGAGGAATAAAGCTCGGGAACTGAACCAAATCGGCTGATGACACAGTCTGGTCTGGTTCAGATCTGGTTTATTCACATCTGTCCCGAGGGATTTGAGGTCAGTACCTACACTGTTTTGCATTATTGTTATGGATAATTCACACTAATGATGTTTGCTCACAAGATTTGTTGTATAGATAATATGACTTGTTACTGCTCCATCAATAATTTCCTACCATTTCCCTACGAATGGACATTTCTGTGTTTATAACACATTTAAAATATATGGAAATGTAGTTTTATCACGCACATAAAAGAATGATTCAGTTTGTGAGTCTTGGGTTTTCAGATCTACAACTGAAAAAATGTGAACTTTGGTCAAAGTGTTGCTGGATTTTATTTTGGTCTTTGTGTCTATAATATCATTTTAAAGGGAATATTGTCCCTTTCAAAACAATGCTGAATCATATGCTGTTAATGTCACTAAGCAAAAATGGGAATGTGTCCAAACTGGATTTTTGACCACTTGATGTATTTTAACTCTAAAGGGATCAGAAAACTATTTTTCACGTGTCAAAGCGATCTGATGTTTATTTTCGTTGAGCTGGAACCAAATGTGTGTTTAATTACTGTTGTTTTTACATTTGATTTGAACACATGTATTGTAAAGATGTATCAGTGCGTCACTGTGTTTAAATTTTACTTGAATTATCACCTATGCTGTCGTTGTTCAAGATTGTATCTCACACTTTTGTTGTTAGAGAATTTGGAAAATAAAAATATATATTTCTGCCTGGATTGTCACATTGTTTTTGGAGAAGAATGACTCAAAACTCCTGAACGTGTGAATTACTCATATTCTCCCTGCAGCTGTTGGAAACGTCTCAATGGATGAATAATGCTGGGAGCTCAACTTTATTTACTATAGAAATTACTTATAACAAAATGTAATTTTGTTTTCTAGAACCGAAGAGTAATAATGCAGAATATGATTTATAATATCTGGCCTTCAACAAACAGGGGGCATTTAAATGCATAAACACTTTCAGTAAATTGTCTTTGACTCAAAATAATATTTCAGTGCAGGGCTTCAACTTGTGATTAGTATTTTTACACCTTGGTATCAGTACTTTCACCAAAGTATATTAAGTTTAACTCTTACCAAGTGAAGCTGCACTGTGGGATCACGTCTTTTTTCCGGGTGTCCTGTTTTCCTACGGCGCGATGTTCGTGAACGCCTCCCGGGTCGAGCAGGATGTTGTTGTTAGCTCCAGCGGTGGAGGAGGAGGACATCCTGTAGTCTCACATCTGGACGCTTCGAAGGTACGAAACTCCCACTTCTTTATACATTTGACTTATAAGTAGACTTATGTTGTGGCTGCGCGCACTGTCGCGTTTGTAAACCGACATGTTCCACTTGTTTTGAATCGTTGGTGTCGCTTGCTAGCATGTTGCTGCTAGCTGCTAGCTTGCTAACCTGCTATTTCTAAATGTGACCAAACGTCTTTTAATCAGATGTGAATCTCTCAGCAGCTCTGATTGGAGTTCACAGTTTGAGACTCACGCCGCTGAACAGTCTGTCGATTGTGTTTCTTCGCCTTTCGTCCCATTAGTTAAGGACATGCTAACACGCATGCTAATCGAGCAGCTAGGCTAACAACAATAGAAACCGAGCTCCCTGTAAACTAGTGTTAAACTCGTGAGAGAGTTGTTCTGACAGTCTCCTCGGTTTTAATTGTTTAGTAACTTTATATTCAACTGCGATCACGTCGTCAGGAGACTAAACTTTATTCCATGTGAAACGATAAACTGCTGCAACGAGTAGCTAACTGTTAGCAGCGAAGGTAACTCCTCAAGTTGTGACAATGAAATGAGCAGACGAGCTTTTATTGTCTCTCTCTCTTCGTCTGAAACTTTAATTGTGAGATAACATTGGACCTGACGTCATATTATATGTGATAAACGTTAAAATCCTTATTTGAAAGTTAAGAGTCAACGCCCCTTTTCGGTTCTTGAAGACGGAAGGAAGCCCTGAGGTTGTTTGTTGATGGTTTCTTGGATTCTTCTTGGACATTCTTCTTCCAGTGCAGCAGCAGATTAAATCACTTTTGAATAGTTTGGTGTGTTACGAGCTTGCTGCCCCCCAGAGATCCACCGCCTCAGAGGTAACTTGACCCTGGGACCCTCCTAATTCCTGGTCATACTGTAAATAGCTGCCCTCTGGTGCTTTTGGTGCAAAGACACATTGTGACGCTACCAGGGATAGAATATAGCTCTAACTAATGAGGGTGATGGGTTCTCCTGACTTTAACTTTGGTTAGTATCCATTATATTGTATATCAAACGTTGCCGGTTGACGTTGTCATGAATCTAAAGTAGGAAAGTTGTGTGTCGATAGATATGAGTTTGGCAGTGTGGACAGAAATAAGAGGAAAGGTGCTTTTTTGGGGCTGATGATGAATCCTGAGTGTGTTGAATTTAGCCACTTACTGTCTGTGTCAGAGTCTTGCTGGACATTGTCTGTAGGAAGGTTATGTTTTCCATTATCAACAAAAGCTCCATTAGTTTGCTTTAATGACACCATGCCCTTTGACTGCAAAGCCAGGCTTTCTCTCCCTCACTCTAGATTGTGTTGTTAAAAAGTAAAGATTTCCCCAAATATTTCTATTATCGTTTTAGACTTTGACAGAAATATTACAAAGATGGAGAATTCATCCCTCAATCCATAAACCTACAACCTTTCATAGCAGAAACATGTTGTTCCTCTGGGTCAGTTGCGTCTCAAGAAGGTTTTGTTGATTCAGAAAAAAACTGTGACAGCCAACTTCCCCAGCAGTTGACTCCTGTCCCACATTCTTCACCCTGCTTGTCAATGTTAAATGTTCACGTCCAGACATAGGCCCGATGCTGCCAGGGCGCTCCTGCCTCCTGGCCACAGAGTTGCTCCATCAGCAGACTGGAATTAGACCAGTGTGCAGGTTAAACTACGCGGGCTGTGCTAGTGAGGCATGTTGTGGAATAGCGAGGTTTGATTTGTCTGACTTGTTGCTTGCTGTGAGCTCAACTACAAACGTACAGTACACTAATTATTCCACAGAGGTTGAACCACACTGTTTATAATTCATGTTTATTATAAACACAGAACTTGTTGCTTTGTCCTTTGTAAGCTGTTGATGAGTGTTTTTACTTTAATGAATTCTCTCTATTGACAGTAATGGGCTGAGATCCACCCTCATTTAATCCCTATTCAAAATGGCGAGAGACAGACAGTGCATCCTCTGTGAAACAATCCATGTTTCCAAGCAGGTAACTCACCCTCGAACAAGGTTTATACAGAATAAATGCAGAAATACAGTTGGATTTCATGTGATACATTCAGGAGCTCTGGCTACATTTGCACTAGAGTTTCATGAGCTGTGGACAAAACAAATATCAAGGATTTTACAAATAATAAAATGAGCGTTATCATATAAAGTATATTTTCTGTTCTGATGCATATCCATATATTTATATGGAGTTATGATACTTAATTTATGAATTAATACTGACAATCAATGTGTTTGTGAATATTGAAAAGAAAAAGTTTCCAAACTTAACAATGCCTGTTTACAGGAGATGGATGAGCACATGAGAAGTATGCTGCACCACCGAGAGCTGGAGAAGCTCAAAGGACGGTGAGTGTCTCAAAATATGCAACATGCACAGATATCATGGAAACATCAATGCATTACAGAAATGAATCATATACCAACATTGTATTTCCCAAATTATTTCGATGACACATCTTATTCAATGTTTAAATGTGTATATGACCATTTAAGTGTGTAAAGTTTAAGGGTATGAAAAGTTTTGTCAATGTATTTGGGTCATGAGGCACGTGTGCACATGGGCACGTGTTGGATCAGGGGATATATGGGCAGCTGTTTCAACTGTGGCACATATATTTAGACACAATCTCTCCGGAACAACAGGCGTGAGCGATAGGAGGCAACTGGGTATCTTGTGACGGCCATGTAGATTACTAAAAGTATGTGGCACGTTGCTGACATTGAAGAATATGGAGAAGTGTAAATACAGAATCAGGTCCTGAGTTGCTGCTAAGTTACTGGGATTTCATGTTGATAATGTAAACACAGCGTCCTTTTAAACTAGATGTGGTATAATTGTGTATAAAATGTATTAATAGAGTGCACGTTGATTTAGATTTAAACTGCCTCTCTAGGAATATAAATGGAGCTTAACTTGATACAGTTTTATTTGTCGTCTTTTGCTGTCATTACTAATTCAGGTTTCAGTTTCCTCGTCAGTGCAGCTGAGAACAAACGTGTTGATCCAAAATACTTTTATTACCTCCGGCAAGGTGGTTATGTTTTAACCCCCGTCCATTTGTTTGCGTATTGGTTTGTTTTTTTAGCAAGTTGACAGTAAAATGATGGAATGAATTTCCACGAAACATAGTGGAAGGATGCAGTCTGGGTCAGGGAAGAACCCAATCTATTTTGGTATGGTTCTGGTTCAGGGTGCAGATCCAAGGATTATTTTCCCCCACTTCATTGCAATATTCTTTTTAATTTTCACTGAGACTGATTTGTATGATTTTGCAAACTTTGGTGCGACTTGATTGAGAACCATCCTAGTTTGCCAACTGCACCAGAGGACAGAAAATGGCAGCATGCCCTGACACAAATTTGAAACAGTAAATTGAGAAGGAGCCAGCAAAGTCACAACCCGTATCAGAATCACAGGATGACATACTTGGGAGAGGTTTTTGAAGCGGAGGCTGTGAGCAGCTGCACGAGGCTCCAGTTTCAAAGGCTTTGCTCTGGATTGGTCAGTGGGCTGCTCGAGACCTGTTTTAATAACACATGCTGGCCTGGAGGGGGCTGGGTCCTGGATCTCAGTGAGGACTGTGGGGTCAAATACAGACATTGCCTCCTGTTGAGTCTCAGAGCGCAGCGGACACCATCATGACCGGACACTAGGCTGAGGGAGATTTGCCTCTCTCCCCTCCACGCGTCCCGGTGCTGTGCTACATGGCTTGTTGTGGTGGCTGGACATAAACAGCTAGATGAGCACGCTGCCTGGGTCCAGCCCGGCTGCTCCTGCCCTCGCTTTGCCACCTATGGCCTGCTGAAGAGTATAATAACAAGATCAGGATGATAAACATTCAAACTTTTTTTTAAGAGAAAAAATTGTAAGTTAGCTACCTCCTGATCTGCGACATATAGACAATTCGGACAAGTTATTTTTTAAAGGGATTGTTGAGTATTCTCCTCTCCTGCTACAGAAAGTAGAGCCTGAGTACGTAAGGCTCTGCAGGCTAAAAAAAACAATCCAAGACAAGTTCAGAACAATGCCTGAAGGAACGATTGAACGTCCGCTCTCGCCTTCCCTCCCCAGGGACTGCGGGCATGAGTGCCGAGTGTGCAAGGTGACGGTGGTGAGCCTGACTGATTATGCCAGCCACATTTCCAGTCCCACGCACAAGCAGAATGTGGAGGCTGCGGAACAAAAGCCCGCTAGGAAAGGCCACAAGGATTACTTCGACCAGGCTCTGGTGGACCTGATTGAAAAGAGAAAAGAGAAGATCAGGTAAGGCCTTCTTGAAAACACGTTTATGATGTTATCAGGTTTTGAGATGGAGGAATAACAGTTGTAAAGAATACGTGATATAAATGTAGTATTATAAGGTCCCTTATTTTGAAGATAATCTAAATGATTAATGTTTATTTATTAGTGAACTGCTCTCTCTTCTCTCTGCTCTTTTTAGTGCTCCAAATATTTTTTTGTGGTTTGCATTTTTCTAGATAAATCCATGTTAGTGTTGATGCTGTGGTTTAATATAAAGATAGGTGATGTGTGTACATACTGTAAACCATGTATAGTCACATTCTGCTCAGTGTTGATCACAGGACTCTTTTAGCTGCAGCTTCACGTTCAGCAGAGTCCGGGGTCGTATGTCCGGAGCGCAGACTAAAAAAAGTCTGACTGCGACTGAAGTTCAGACGTGACGTCTTTGTGCCCTACAAACTCTTGAAATGAATTTGACCTGTGAGACTACCTTATGTGTGCTGGGGTTTTCTTTTCTGAAAACATGTAGTGTTGATCTCAGTATCTCACTGGAAACATTTGAAAACACTTCTGACCACAGCATCTGGTAAAGTGTGATATGTGAGGAGACAGTTGAGGGCAAAAGCCGACACTCAGCTGTCGGCCTGTCACATGCCTGATATTTTCCCTCAGAGCCGTAGGTCACACTGAATCAATCCAAGAAGCCTGCCGACAGTTTGCCAAGAGATGGTCCTGTCGCCAAGGAAACTTTTACGTCCTGTTAAACAGACTCAAATAAATCTCCACAATAACCATTATTTTTAATAAAAATGAAAAAATTGTCACCAAACAATTTCGTTTTTACAAATCTTTCTGTTTATTCATAAAAACAGCTGCTGGCTGCAAACAATGGTGATGAGTTTGGTGAGAACAAACCAAATGTTGTGGGCAAGAAAAACCGAAACACTAAATCTCTCTGTAGAGCTAAAGAGCATTGGTAGTGTCAGGTGACAGGACACTTGTTTGATTACTTTTGAATTTCCTCAGAATTTCTTTTTGAAGGCATTGTGTCTTAAAATACTCACAACCTTCACTAAAGACCATGAGCTGAAACCTATAACTTTTCATGTACATGTGTGTGTATGACTGTGAACATTATGAAAGCAGATTCCATGGCAGAGTAGTTATAATGGAATTCATGATTTTGCAGAGGTACTTAAAAAGTGGCCACTGAGTGAAGATCTGCATGTGTGTCTCGTTACCAGGAAAGAAAAGGAGGCTGCTGCTGCGAAGCTGGCAAAAGAAGAAGACGATTGTAGGAGAAAGGAGGAGTTTCATCAGAGGTTAAAGGAAGCTAAGGAGCGTTACCAGCGAGAATACACCTGGCAGCAGCCTTCACAGGGGTCAGGTGGATCTGGTCAGCACAATTCTTGGTACGGCGGCAACAGATACAATGCCAGATCAGGGGAGCCACGGCCCTGGCACTACAACCAACAGGGAAAGAGCGCCACCTGGCATGCTCAGGAGCCTCCCAACTTTCAGAAATGGGGATCCGAAGAGTGTGTTGGTGGAAGCTTGCATAACCAGGGAGGGTGGAACAGGAGGCAATGGGATCAGGGTGGATGTTCTGGCAATCAACAGAATCGACTGCCTTGGCTCAGCAGTGGAGGCAGTAGTAATGGGGTCTACGGCCAAAACAATATATCTCAGTACCAACAAAGAGGCCGTCCCTTTGGAAGTTCGGGGCCAAATAATACGCATCCACCTCCACCCAATTTGTATTCCCGGGGTTCTAACCAGTTTCAAAATACTGCCAGTAACGAGCGAAGTCAGCAGAGTAGTGGGGTTCAAGTAAGCAAGGGACAAACAGCAGAAGCTGAGCACAACAGCAGTAAAAGCTCTAAGACCTTTGGTAGCAATCCAAAGCTGGACAAAGCCTGTCGCTGGTCCCCGTACCCAGTCACAAAGAGCTCTGAGTCCGGGTCCCAAAGAGACACCAACCCAAGTTCGTCAGAGAAGCACCCCAAAGTCCCTAAAGCCCAGAAGCAAGATAAAACACCAGAGACCAGTGCCGTTAACAGGCTGTCCCGACCTGACAGGAAACCAGGGCCGTTGCCTTCTAGTGGACAAACTGTGGAGGCAAAACAGAAGCAAAAAAGAGATGCTAAAACCAAACCGAGGGATAGCAGCAGTAGCAGCAGCAGTAGAAGCAGCAGTGCTCAGAGAGAAGGACACCAGAGCTCTGCATCTGCTCCTTCCACTCAGAAGGTAAATAAATCGTTGCTGCAGAAAGATAAGAAGAAGTCCTCACTTCCTGGTCTCACCACTCAACTAAGTAAGGCCTCCAGTTTAGAACATGCGCAATCAAAGCCCACTTCAAAACAGAGTGGACTCAGCTCTATAGCTCCACTTATTGGGCCCCTGAAATCAAGGCAAGAACGGCAGCTCCCTGAAGTCCTCAGGAAAGAAAGACAGACAGTATCAGAAAAGAGAGGTTCTCTGGATAGCTCGAGTAAGGACAGGATGGAAATATCACAGCACATTGAGGAGGAGCAGCAGAGAGATTGTGCTCAGAGTCAGATCGGAGTAAACAAAGAAAACAGCTTCAGGCAGGATCCAGCTAAACCAAATTCATCAGTCAGACCAGAAAAGCCTGCGTTGAAATCCTCAGACAGCAGCCAGTTTCTCCAGTCGTTACAAGTTAGTACCTCCACCATGGAGAACTCAGAGTCTGCAGCCTCAAGCAGGAAAGAGGAGAACAGGGAGAAAGAGGAGAAGCAAACAGGCTCACCGGCCCCAGATGAAGCTGTGCAGGCTGTTGAGGCAGGGCAGAGCTCAGAGAGTGACACCTACAGGAGCAGTGACGCACAGACGCTGTCAGCATCAAACACAAGTCAGTCTAAACTTGACCTCCCTCCCGTCTTAAAACGAGACCTGACCAAACACATCAGCTCCAAGAGCAAAGCAGTAGGCCACGAGCCCAACCTGAACATTGCCAGACGGGTGAGAAACCTGAGCGAGTCACGGAGGAGCGACTCCGAGAAGGACTCTGGGCTCAAACCGACTGTGCGGCAACTCATCAGCTCCTCCGGCTCTCGGCGCAATGTAAACTGGGAACAGGTTTATCAGGAGGTCAGGAAGAAGCAAGACAAAGGGAAAGGGATGCCAAGGTAAAGTTGTTGTCTGACATTTAGATTTTACAAAGAGAGTTTTTCTATTTTCAGCTGCCTTGACCTCACATTATGTTTTGTCACACTCCAGGTTTGGGATAGAGATGGTGCCGAATGAACATGAGGACCAGAGCCAGGAGGAAGATGACATTCCCGGGTTAGATGGTTTCCACTGGGAGTCGTTGATGGACGTCTCTGCTCCAGGTGCCCCCCGAAAACGCTCTTTATCAGAGAGCAGCCTCGCCCCCGAATCCACTCCCTCGCTGTTTGCGTCCCTCATGTCAAAGGAAATGTCACAAAGAGAAAACCTCGGCTCAGGACAGCAGGGATCTTCAATCCCGACCTTATTCGCTCAAGGGAGCAAAGACATTCACTGTGAACAAGAGGTGGATCACACACTTGGTCAGTTTAGGGCCAAAACACAGAAGCAGCCTGAGAAGCTGACATCAGCGACAGTGAAGGCCCTCCAGCGATCTGATTCGGTGCTCGGGGACAGCAGCTCGGGGACGGAGCAGTTTGACGGTCAGGGAACAGGGAAGAGGCGCAGAGCAGCCGGGGTGAGTAAACGAAACGGAGTCTAAACTGATTTTACACGTCAGGGTCTCTTTACAGGTGTTGACTCTGTCTCTCTCTCTCGTAGGATGCTCATGGTGCAGAGACGTCGTGTTTGGAGCACAATAGCAAAAGACGGAAGGTCAAAACCAAAAAAGGTATTTTTTTTTAAATTAATATACAAGTAATAAAAACAGTATTACGAATGATTCATGGACACAGTCAATAGATTTTGTCTCCGCTGATGGAATCTGATGATCTTGTTGGTTTGAGATTCAAAGCTTTAGTCATCTTTGAGGCCTTTGTGCACGACATTGCAGCCACATCAAATTTAAGTTTGCATGAGAGTCGTGTTTTTACCAAGCTACCGAGGATTCCTAAATTTCCCTCGTGCTCTGTGCAGATCGCTTGCAGATCGACCAGCTGCTGGCTGTGTCTCTACGGGAGGAGGAGCTGAGTCGCTCCCTGCAGACTGTGGACACCGGCCTGATCCAGGCCCGCGCTGCACTGGATGCCGCCTACATGGAGGTGCAGCGTCTCATGGTGGTTAAGCAGCAGGTAAGAAAAATAAAACTCCCATCATTTCAAGATTGATCTTCTCACCCAGTTACATATTCTTTATGTACAGGGTCAGTGTCGTGTTAATTCCAAAAGGGCAGGTTGGTTTCTATGATTTTGATTCACAGTATGTTTCAGTTACTCGGTGGCTGATTCTCTCCAGGAGTGGTTACGTGTTTATTTCCATTGTAGCTTTAGTTAAGATGTAAGACTGAACTGCTGACTCAGCCGATGTCTAATCTTTCACTGTTGGAGTCTTGCAGAGCAACACTTTTCACTTTCTGACCGTCCTCGTGTGTCTTCCTCAGGTGACTGTAGAGATGAGCACACTGAGAAACAAGCGCATTGATTTACTAAAAGGGATGCAAGGTAAGAACACATGTTTGTGAGAAGTACTAGAAATTGTTTTACAATGAATGCTTTACACATACAGTGTTTGCTCACTGCTAATCACTGCATGTGAGGTTTAATTGTGTTAGAACGTGGATGTTTATTATTAAATTTTTCTTAACTGTTCTTTTTTAATACAGGAAGTGTGGAGGAAGCGCCTCAGCTCAAACTGAAAGAAGAAAAGATAGATGTCATGGATACAGATCCACACATGGCTTGCTCCCTTATGCTTTCCCCCGTAACTGCTGCGCTCAGTCCGAGTCCTCCTGCTCAGCGTGCCTCCCCTCCGTCCTCCAGTCTTCCCTTCATGTCTGCAGTTATCAAAGAGGAGCCCCAGTCTCCCATCCACATCAGCTCAGAGTCGGACCCTCTGGATAATGTCGCCCTCTGTGCTCACAGCACAACACCGGAGCTGCCTGTCGCTCCTGCTGCAGCGTCGTCACCAAGTAATGTCACTTAATGCACAAGTATACACATATATACACATTATTCATTTGTATCAAATAGTAATAATCGTCAGTCATGGATTTAACCTTACTTTACCTTAAATCTGCAGTTTACTGACACATGTGCCTCTGAAACCGTTTGCAGATCCTGCCCTCAACTTTCAGTCGTCTCCTGAGAGAAATCCTGAGCTCTACCAAACCAATACAGAACATGTGTGGGAGAACCTTGGAGATCTTGCAGACTGCAACGAGAGCTCGTCAAGACTGTGCGAGACAATGGACATTGCCGTCCAAGCAACGAGGAACTGTCTGACCCCCGAAACTGACTCCAAATCCTCCATAAAGCTTCTCTCACCCAGCAGGAAGGGCTCTGATGTGGGGAGCGTAGGTGACTGTGCAGCCACAAAGACTTCGGAGATCCCCTCTGTGCCCTCGGTGCTCAATCTGCCTGCCTCTCCGTCCGAACTGAGCAGTGGAAAGCGCGTGAGGAAGCTCAAGAAGAGGAAGGTGTTGAAGAAGGCGCAAGGGACGGAGCACCTCGAGAGCAGTGACACCGAGATAGACGGGGAGTTCTCGAGGCCGAGGTGGCTCCGGCCACGCAGGAGACCCAGTGGAGGCTCCCAGGTCAGCACCTCCACTCTGCCCACAGAAGATAGAGAGGGTGACGTGAACATGGAGAACAGTGAGGAGGTGCATAGGCAGAAGGTGGACCACAATTCCCCCAAACACATGGTAGAGCTTCCCCACATGGCCTCCACTGAGCTGATAGTGAACTTAGATTCAGAGGAGAGCATGGAGGTCACCGCAGTCTGCCAGCAGCCCCACACAGATGCTGCGGCTCCACATCGCACCAAAGTCCAGGTCCCAAACTCCTCCAGACCCGTGCCACAGAACCTGGCCTACAACGAGGTCACCTCCACAAGTGACATGGACATCTGTAAATCCTCTGAGAGGTGAGGCTTTACCTCGGACATATGTACCACCTCTTAAATTATCAATATGCTCATAAAGGCACCTACACAGAGAATAATAATAATTATTCTAATAGCTGAAGCTTCAACTTATCACATCTGTTTTTTGTATGTGATGCTGTTTATGATTATTGTATGAAGTCCAATCTCAGATTAAGATTAAACTTTGGCAAAAATAAAATCCTTCATCTTTTCTCCCCACAGCGACTTGTCGGTTCCCATCACGTTGCCCAGGACCATGAAGAACTCATCAGGTTTGTTCATCTCTGGTGTTTGTGTTATAAGGGTTAAACTAGTTTGTACAAACTGTCGTCAGCTCACCTTCACTAAATCATATAAAAGAAATTGGACCCTGCTTAAAGTCTTTAAGTGTGACCGTGTAACCAAACATTAAATCCTGCCATGTTCTGAGCAGCCAAAATTAGAAATGTCGGACTCGCTGCCAAATTAAAATAGACTCTGCAGCACCCAAATTACTTTTTATGGGCAAGATATTCATAGTGACTCTGTGGAGCAGGATGAGTGTGACTTTCTGAAGATGTGTATATATATATAACGTTTTTTGAGAGTTGAGATTTCTTGATACAACTCCACCTTAAATTAAACCTTGAAGACCAAAATTCCTTTTTAAACTAAATGTATGATGTTTAAGTTAATTACATTTATTCTAAAGAAGCAAATGCACAAATTTGATTTAGTCTATATCTCACAACATGTTGCTCTATTTTTTCCCCCCCAGATGTGTCTTCTGACCACGGTGGAGATGATATGCCCTCTGAGGGGGTGTTCGAGGGCCACCAGGAGGCGGTGAACGCCATGCAGATCCACAACGGGCTGCTGTACACGTGCTCAGGAGACCGGACCGTCAGAGCCTTCGACCTGGTGGTGAGAGTTGATGAAACCCTGCTGCTGATTCTTTTTTTTTTTTAAATCTGTGAACGCCAAACACAACATTCTCGTACTTTTTGTTGCAGACTCATAAATGCGTGGGTGTGTTCGATGGTCACAGCTCCAAAGTGAGCTGCCTGTTGGTGTCCGTGGCTCCGAGCCTCCATCACCGGCTTTATTCTGGTTCCAGTGATCAGACCATCCGCTGCTACAGTCTCAAGGTGAAAACACACAATCTTCTTCTTCTTCATCGAAATAACTGCCATGTTTGTGAGTGATTCCGTTGTAGATCATGTGCCACGATGCTGCCACGGTTTGTGACGCTTCCTTCTCGTTACCAGACTCAAGAGTTCGAGCATCAGTTCTCTCTGTCAGACCGAGTCCTCTGCCTCCACAGCCGCTGGAGGACTCTGTACGCAGGCCTGGCGAACGGCACGGTGGTGACCTTTAACCTCAAGGTGAGAAACGCAAAGTCTGAATTTTATATCCCAGTGATGTGAAACAAGCTCATGACTTAATGCAATAGAACACATCGTGTAGCTCAGTAATTAAAAGTGCTGCTTTGTTGTTGTTTCGTTAGTTTACAATTATCTATTTGCGGGGGTGGGGGTTTATTTGAAAGCCAAATTTTCCGCTCAGTGGCTTTTGTCTTTATTTGTCAACTGTTGCGTCTTTCAGACAAACAAGCAGATGGACGTGTTTGAGTGCCACGGTCCCCGGGCGGTGAGCTGTCTGGCCTCGTCGCAGGAGGGAGCGCGGAGGATCCTGCTGGTCGGCTCCTACGACAGCACCATCAGTGTGAGAGACGCCAAGAACGGACTCCTGCTGCGCACGCTGGAGGGACACATCAAAACCGTCCTCTGCATGAAGGTAACACCAACACCGAGACTTCTTTAGTGATCGAGTAGGTTTCCATTAAGATTGTATAGAGATGCTTCAGAACAAATAGTTTGTGAGTGAGACTAAAACAGTATCTGCTAAATGGAATTAGTTGAAAATTCAAATTGTTTGTGAGGAAATATTTAGGGACAGTTGTGGCTCAGGGAGTAGAGAGGGTCATCCACTAAACCAGATCGGTGGTTCGATCTCCAACACCTCCTGTCCAAAGTGTCAATGGGAAAGATACTGAATCCCAAATTGCCCCTGAAGACTGTCGTGTATGAATGTGTGCGGAATGGGTGAATGCCTTTTAGTGTTAAGCTGGAAAAGCTTTGTATAATTACACACTGCACTTATTGTGTCAATATAAGTTAAGAAATAAGGTTTCCTTCTTTCTTTTTATGTTTTCTTTGTGCTGAAGAACTGTATTTGTACTTGATCTCCTGATTGTTCGTCTCCTCTCAGGTGGTCAATGATCTGGTTTTCAGTGGCTCAAGTGATCAGTGCGTCTACACACACAACATCCATGTGAGTAATCCTGTTTCTCTCTTCATACACAATGTTAACGTGTGAAATTGAGGTTCCCGGTGTAGTTTAATCCAGTTATTAATACACGTAGATCACACTGTGTTTTCTTTGTGCCTGCACAGACTGGAGAGCTGGTGCGCGTCTATAAAGGTCACAGTCACGCTGTTACCGTGGTGTCCATCCTGGGGAAGGTGATGGTGACCGCCTGCCTGGACAAACTGGTCCGAGTCTACGACCTGCAGGTCTGCATCCTTAAACCATCTGTCCTCAGTTTAATGAAACACTTCTCTGCTGCCACAGAAACAACTCATCTCTGCTTATTTGTTCCTCCTCAGTCTCACGACCAGCTGCAGGTCTACGGGGGACACAAGGACATGGTGATGTGTATGACAGTCCACAAGAACTTGGTGAGAGTCATGTGATCTCATCTGATGGGGAGCGTACGGGTGTTCGTGTTTCAGTGTCTCTGAAATGCAGAGTTTTTTTCTGTCGGGCTTTGTTTGTGTGAGACGTGAACCCATCATCCGTGTGTTCTTTGTGTTTCAGATCTACACGGGCTGTTACGACGGCAGCGTGCAGGCCGTCAAACTGAATCTGATGCAGAACTACCACTGCTGGGTAAGACAAGGGGACAGGAAGTGGAACTGAGAGGAGAATCGATAAATTGAGGATGATGGATGAATTTCATCGTTTTATTCGATTATTATGTTGGAAAACGAAGGAGAAAGAGATTAACCTCGAACTAAAGAGTGATTTCTCTCTCATATCTAATTTAAATAGTTTCTAGACGCATGTAAAAGTAATATTAATCCTGAGCGTGTCCCTGGTTATGAGTTCCTAACTCCGTCTTGTGTCGACAGTGGCACGGTTGTTCGCTGGTCTTTGGGGTGACGGAGCATCTGCAGCAGCACCTGATCAACGACCACACCAGCGCCAACTTCCAGACGCTCAAGTGTCGCTGGAAAAACTGTGAAGAGTTTTTCTCCTCACGCAACAGCTCAAAGCAGGTAAAAATAAAACGTGTTAACCCCACACATTCCATCTCTGTCGTCTTCTTCACACCTGCAGTTTGGGTCATTTGTTCTGAATCAAGTAAAACAGCTGTAACTCATTGATGAGGTCGTTTTGACAGAAAACCTCGACGGCTGTTTTAAAGATTGTTCGTCATCACTTAAGTACAAATATTCTCTTTCGTTCTCTTGTCTCACGTTAAAGTTAATTACATTATCGTGGGTATTTAGACATTTGGTGACGTCACATTGCGCTCTGGGAAATCTGACGTGGATTTTAAACCATTTTCTGATGCGACATACTGAACGAGAGAATATCTGTTCATCAATAATGAAAATCTTTAGCCTTCGATTGATCGACTTCTGGATCTGTTTTGCAGGGGATGCTGATGCACATGTGTAAACATGCTGAGGAGGAGCTTGAGCCTTAAAGGCCGGTGGAGGGACCATCGCCTTCTTCCCTTCCCCACTATCTTTACCCCCCCACTGTTGACCTCCCATATTGGGGGGGGACGTTCTTGGGACCCACTTAACTTGTCAAGCCTGATGAGTGGCGTCTGATGACTCCATCCTTTATGTTTGGTGTTGGAATCCAACCACAATACAATCACGACGGGAGGGTTGGTTGTGCTGTTGTTTATTTTTATACGTTCTATAAAACACGCCTTCCTCTCTCTCTGTCTGTCTGACCACTGCAGTTCCTCTGTTCACTGACCAAAGTAAAACGAAGAAACACGACTTTAGTTGACTGAAGAAACTTGAGCGTTGCCGGTGTGAGAGGGAGTTGTTACGCTCTTCTTTCCAAAAATGCGACATTAAACAATAATCATCTTCCGGATTGGTTTCAATATGGCATGAGGTTCAGAGATGTTTTTTCATTGTTGTTGTGAAGTTTGATGTTGAGCAAATCTTTCTTTTTTTGTTTTTTCTTCTATGAAGTTTTTCTTTTATTCACTCAAAGTAAACTCATGTTTATGACATTAATAATTTTGAAGTTTTCAGAAATGAATGATGTCGTCTCTCAGTTGTGAAAAACTGCCTTTGAAGGAGTTTCATTGAAGTGACAGAATTTACTGATTTCTGGTTTGGTTTTAATTTTATTTTGGAGGAGAAGAAGGAGGTTTTTTCCAACAGTTGTTGGGTTGAGTTACATCGATCTTATTTTTCTGTTGCTCATTCAGGTGATTTAAAGGAGCTGAGGGACTTTGGTGCGGTGCTGTGTGACTTGGCCTGAGGTTGCCTTTTCTGAGAATTTGCCTTTGCAGTGAAAACCGAGACGTGCGTGTGTGTGTGTTTGTGTGCGCGAGTGTGTGTGTTTCTAAATGTTTGGATTTATTCCTCATAACTGTCGACAGAGTGCTTTTCTATGAGTGAGTGTGAGGTGATGACTTATGTTTGGATTTCATCCTCGGGAAATATTGTATTTTTGGAATCTATTATATATTTGGAGCATCGAGCAGAAGGCACTGGAGCTGTATTTTCCACAGTCGCGATGGTTTTCTTACAAAGTGTGGAGGTGAAGGATGTTAAGAGGAGGTGTTGGATGGAAGAGCTTGAAGGGAAGAGTTAGGATTCATGTCCCATGCCATACCTCACCCTCTTTAAAGACAAGCGAGTTGGTGACTGCTTTTTTAACCGGCTCGTCAGACCAGTTTTAACCAGTGTGAAAGTCGACCCTCTCTCCGGCAGACTTCGTGTGGTGACAGCTCTCGTGTTCGAATCCTCTGCAGAGGGTTCGTTAACCAGATGTTCTCACAGCCGCCATCCTTAAATCCCTCCTCGCCCGTTTGTTATCTACGACGAAAGCATGCAGCTCACCTCTTACCTGGCATTCCTGAGTTTCTTCAAGTATTTCAGTTGTTGTCAAACTTGTGACGAGATATTTTTTATGAAAGTGCAATCAAAGAAATTGTTAATTATAATAAAAAAAAAATGTTGCAGCATTTAAAACTGTTTTCTTTTGTCTTTCTGATGTTTTAAACTCTTAAAATCTAAGAACCACTGTAAATAAAGAGGGACGATGAGTCTCCACTTCCTCCTGCGCTCCAGAAATGAAGCCAAAACATCTCGGATACAAACGCTGCCATCTCCTGCTGATGATGTCATTTGGAGTCTCAGCTGTCAATCATCCTGCTTCTATAGCATCAAGTAACTAGTTTAAAAAAATTGACTGGTGAAATGAGCAGCTTAACAAACAGTGTTTTAACCTAAAATGATAGAAACCAAATGTACTTGTTGTGAACTTTGACTTTTAGGTTTGATCCATGTCCCATCCACTAACAGAGAGGAGGCGGGGTTTACGACAGGTACAGCAGCCAGCCACCAGGGGGCGATCGAGGCCATTTGACTTTTGCTGTCGTGTCCTCCATCTTTAAATAGTCTGGTGGTCAGAGCAGCCAAAATATGAACCGCATCTTAAAATCAACACGTCTGGTAACACAGTCAAACCAACAACTACACATTTATTTATTTATTAGATTAAGATGTTTAAAAATGCAGTACACTCATTAGACCAAAGCCTTAATACTTAATAATAAAAACCACAAAAAGCTGCAGTCCAACCCCGTAGCCGTAATCTTTCAAATCCATATTTGAACCTTGTAAAATAAAACAAATTGTCAGCTGCACAGTTCTCGTTCTTGAGTCTCATCCGTCCACATGCAGAGCTGAACGACTGGCGGACTGGACATTTTGAAAGGGGTGGGAGGGGAGAGGGGAGGGGGGGGGTCGTACCCAGGATGTCGCACCAGTGAAACGTACTAACGTGCTACTCAAGGCCAACGATAAGTCCAGGTGTTTTATTTTATTGACAAAAAT